TGCCCATACCACTGGCTGCTGAACCAAGCCTCCCCCACTGCTAAGCAAAACTGAGAAAGTGGAATAGGAATGTTGCTTTCCATTGCCCTACAGGCCAGCCAGGATCAGAGACACTGCAACAACATACTCACCTTTACTTCACTCCCAGTAGCAAACGTCAGCGCTACTTGTTACCCTTTGTAATAGAGAAATAAGGCAGCAAATAACCCTCAAATGATCTCTAGGGTTCTTGCTAGCACACATACGCACATGTGAAGCAATACAAACACACACACACACCCCTTTTCAAACCTAGCAGTGACCAAAGCAAGCTAGTTCAAAAGTTGACTGGGAATGATATTCATGTCCGACAGGCATTCAGAAAAAAAGTCAGTGACATGGTATCTCAAACCAGGCAAAGAGGAGCTGGGCTAAACCTTTACTGCCAATACTGATGAGAATATTGCATAGCTAGAATTGTTCTGGGAAAGGCAAACACTCCAGCAGAGTTCACAGCAACTTTCCCATGCTAGGAAAACACAAGGAGTGCTGCCATTCTTTAGCTTTGTGATTCAAGTCTGGGATTTCCAAGTTTTAGACATCATTCAAGCAGTGGTCTGACAGAGACACCTTCTCTTTTCAAAAGGAAACAAAATATCCGTGTAGATGAATCACTAGCTCTGAACCACTGTCAGACCAGGGAAAGTCACCTGTCTTTTGTTGCAGAATTGCTACTGTCTGGATATCCACTGCCACATACCAAAATATCTGGCAGGGATGAAGGACAAGATGCATGTATGTGCAGTTCCAAACGGTTTAACTGTTGTCTGTAGAGGGACAAGGACTTCAGTCTCCTTAAAATAATGACAAATAAATTGTTTCTGCCCCTATAGAGGAAAGATTTTTTTTTTCTAGGTGTCCTGGTTTTGGCTGGGGTAGTGAATTTTCTTCCCGGTAGCTGGTACAATGTTGGGTTTTTTTATTTAGTCTGAGAACAATGCTGATAATACACCAATGCTTTAGTTTTTGCTAAGTAGTGCTTATTCTAAGTCCAGGACTTTTCAGTTTCCCATGCTCTGCCAATGAAGAAAGGGAGGCCGGGAAGCAGCATAGTCAGGATAGCTGAACTGAACTAGCCAAAGGGATATTCCCTACCACAGCACATCATGCCCAGTATGCAAACAGGGGGCAGATGGCCAGGAGGTACTGATCACTGCTCAGTGACAGGCTGTACATTGGTCAGTGGGTGGTGAGCAATTGTACTGTGCATCACTTGTCTTTCTTTGGGTTTATTTCTCTCCCCCTTTTTGTTATCTCCCTTTTCACTGCAATTATTACTATTTTAAGTATTAAACTATTCTTACCTCAGCCCACATGTTTTGCCTTCTCCTTGCCCCACCTCCCCCTCCCTAATTCTCCTTCCCATCCCACCAGGGCCAGGGGTATGAGTGAAGAGCTGCAGGGTACTCAGTTGCCAGCTGGGGTTAAACCACAACATTAAGGAACAGTAACTCTGGTAAGGCTAAGCCAATAGCTTGTTTAAGAAAAATATATGTTGGTAATTCAGCTGACAAGGAGTGGGCAAGGGAGAGAAGGAAATAACAAATGAAGTGAAACACTGATAAGAGGTTTATGGACAACCACACTGCCACATATAGTACTGAAAGTGCATCTGTCCTTGTGCTTCATGGCAGATCCAGCCTTTGTCTGAGGGAAGCGAAGTCTTATATAAATGAAGTCCAGGTTCACAGTTTTTTTCCTCTGGATACAGCATTCCTTTCACAGTAACACATCAGTAGTGTAACTGTATTTCTTAAAGAGTTGCCACATTTTCAACAAATTGCCATCAGTACCCTGCCACCAGTTCCCAGCAGCATTTCTGTATGGCTCACCCCTCCCCACCCAAAGCTTTTACAAACATAGCTTAATCCATCCATCATGTTAGCGCTCCCATGTGCTCTGCATGGCACCACACTTCAGCAACCTTTTCCAGCATTCTTCACACCTAAAATTTGTTTAAAGCTACAAACACGGGTATATGGAAGCAGTTTTTCTTGCACCCTTTCCAGTCTGGGCAACCGTACTGTTATAGTCCCCTGTAGTTATTCTTGGAGGTGCAAGTGGTAGTGAGGGCAGGGGAAAAGTAGAACTCTAAACCCAAGTCTAATTAGAATTTGAAAGCGTGATTTTATTATAGCTGGCCTTTGTTCAAAAGATTGAGACTAATGACAAGACCTGAGAGAGACAAACACCTTAATCATTGCTAGTCATCATAAAATAAAGGAGTAATCAAATTCATAGAAACCATCCCAAATCAAAGCATCCATTATATCCGTCAAACCTTACAAAACATGCCTCTTCATATAGCCCAGCTACAAGTAGGAAGAAAAGCCCTAAATACCTCCACACCTGAACACTCTCCAAGCATCCTAAACGCAAGCACTAGCTGTGCGTAAGACCTCCTCTCAGAAGTGGGTTGATACAGGGGAGAGATGCACCAGACATTCAGAGCTCCATATTTAAAAGTCCTCAAGTGACAAATGAGCAGCAGGTTCATCATGGTTCCTTACTTCTCATTTGTATACATGGAGAGGGAAATAGGTCAAGCAGCTTGCTTTCATTTATTCTATGAAAAGCCAACAGATGTATCTAGTATTTCCTGATAAGTTTTATTCTTAACAGAATAAAAATGTAACAAAACAACTCCTGATGAGTTAAACTACCACTGACCATCACACTTCAATGAACTTGTTTCACCCAACCAGGCTGTATGACTGGATTTGAAATACTTTTGTTAAAAGCCTGTATCAACTAATACACATATTTGCCCACCTACAGCTATTGTTCCATAGGCTCACCACTGAAAGGGAAAGTTCACTACCTCAATTTGTCTGTTCTTTATGTCAAGTTTATCTCATCAGACTCTTTGTAAGGTTCTTCAATCCAACAGAGCAGGAGAAAGCTATTCACCTCAACACAAAGCTGGCACCTAGTAGGTGTCAGGTGTCTGTAAGCAAGGGCAGAAGGGGCAACAATGCCTTTTGATAGCAGTGAGTTGCCCTCCTACAGTGTTTTGACTGCAACCTTGATTTGTGATTTCAACAAGAGTCATTATCTCAGTCAGCACTCACCTTGCATCATACTCCTGTAGGCTGTGTCTGTGATGGCATAGATATGAGGCGGCATCTCATGTCTCTTTTTGCCTTTGTACATCTCCACTATTTCTTCCGAGTATATGGGCAGGTTCTTGTAAGGATTGATTACCACACAGAACAGGCCTGAGTAGGTCTGGAAAGAAAAACACCCCAGCAAATAAAGACAGGAATTAAAAATGTTGTATACTTGCACATTTTAGCAGTATATTCCTTGAGAAAAAAACCCAAACAAACCAGTCCTTTTCTAAGTGCTTTTTCCAGTGATGCTACTAAGCAATATTAGAATCTGAGCAACATTTAAAGTCCTATCAACTTGACTAGTACTCAACCTTTCCAAGTATGCACAGAGCATCAACTGACACATTAGTCACACTGATATCAAACTAGCCTGCTCCTTGGCTAATTAAGTCCACTAGGACTGGCTTTTCTTCCTTTCAAAGTTCTGATATAATGGACACTTGAATATAAGGTAGGTGCTCAGCTCCTAGAAACATGCATTTTATTATGTTCTGCCTCACACCTGCTATGGATTTATCCAGTAATGGATCAACTACAACATAATAAAATTTCAAGCCCAAATAGTTACTAAAAGAAAAATAAGACAATGGTACTCCTTAGATCTTTTCAAGACCACCTGAAAAACTGAACTAGGCTAAAATTCAGTGTTGACCCTGGACATTGGATTAGGTGGCCTCCTACAGACCCTTCCAGCCTAAAGACTTACATGATTTATAACATAAAGAACATAACTAGAACTAGATTCAATATGGTAAGGTCATTAATGTTGTATAGTTCTGAACTATTTAATACAGAAAACAATTCTTAAGTATTCCATGCTCAAAGAGTCAGCAACATTTGTCAATGCTGATTTCTCAATTGGTTTCCACTGGCTTAAATTCCACAGTTCTGATGGAAGACAACTGTCAAAATGCTTCTAGTTTAAAATATTAAGCTTCTTAAAAGAGAAAAACAACCCTCTGAGATACAAATATCTAAAAAAAAAAAAAAAAAAACAAAAAAAAACCCACCAAACAAAAAAAAAACAACAAAAAACCACCCCTAACAAACATTTTACTTGCAAAGGGAATAGGAGGAGCAGAAGCTTCTTAGATATTTCCTCGATATTCTAAGAATAGCATTTGAAGCCTTGCTCCTGGGGTTTAGAGCTATCCTACAGTTCCCTGTCAATTTTAGAGGCAGCTGTTTGAAACATCTGGAGAGGAAGAGCTTTCTACAGCAACTTGCAGTGCTACCAGAAGACAGTATATTTGGCACTTTTCTATTGCTACCACCTCTTCTACTGTTTGCTCAATGAAGAGTGCTTTGGAGTGGTGAAGTGTTCTCCACAACAGGCACAGAGAGTACTTAATCAGATTTAGCCTCCTTATCTAGATAAAGGTAAGTATTAGATCACAGTGATCAGAAGGGTGAAAATAGCATCTACTACACAGTTTACTGTCTTATATCCAAATTTCCTACATGCTGGCTTAACACCACATAATCAGCCCACTCTTACATGCAGGAGATTCTGATACAGCTTTCACCCTATGTCCCCCAGAAAGCAAAACTTTTATAGGTATTTAAGGTTCCTTTTCCATACACCAGTTTGAACTATCAGGATATGCTTCCAGATCTACCTGTTAAGTATTTGAGGAATATTTGAAAATACTAAATCTCTTTCCAAAGTAGGAAACTATGAAACTATGCAAGTTGGCTAAAAAACTTTTTGCGTAGGACTTTGAAAGCTCCAGGAAGCTAAGCTTCAGTGAGATGTTCTAGTGAATTTAAGTCTGAGGTAGTGCTTGAAAGGAACAGTTTCAGGAGTTTGCAGAAACCAGCTTGGCAATGCTAGTTCCTTTTGCCTCAGCCTAAGCTCTCCATCATGTCAGACAGTACTTGTACAGCACAGACTAACTGCTGAAAGTCTGGGTCATGCTTTCCTGACCTTTGACTAGTGGATGACAGCGTAGGACCAAGAGGTAGGAAGGGGTCAACTCAAGAGTAGCATGTTCACAATACATGCAGTGCACTTTTTTCCTTACACTGACATGGAAATAATTGACATTGGAGTCAACTGAACTGTTAGAAGAAAAGCTGTAATTTTATCAAAGTTCTGGAAAACAAGTAAACAAAAACCTTCTAGGTTGCCAGTTTCAGCTGTCTGAATTAGCAGCCATCACACCTCAAATCCCATGGCAGCAGCAACAGGCACATAATAATCAAAAGAAGATGCCCTATACAGTCCCCCTTCCTTCCAACCCCAACAAAACTGTAACTCATGGCACAGACCAAACCTACCTCTCCCTTCAAGATGTTAATAAAGATGTTAATAAAGATGTTTCAAGATGTTAATAAAGCTGAAGGCCTGTTTGTTGCTTTTGGGGGATTAGAAGTGAGAGCAAAAGAAAAGTGGTAGCAACTACTGTGGTAATACTCCAAAACTAATATAAAGCTTTCTTGTCTACATTTGTGTGACTTTTTATGGCTGTGTCTGCTGACACATTAGAATTGTTGCTTTTCAAATAAGAATAAAGGTCTGAAGCTGAACTGAAGCAGTCTTACTGATGAGAGCAGCAGTTTAGAAAATGGAAAACATTAATTTCAATTACAGTAATGAAGCCACGAAGCAGGTATGCAGGAAGAAGCCATCACCTTCTTCCAGCATTCTGGTTGCCAGGAGAAATACCTACGGGAAGTTTCCTGCAGTATAATGATCTCAGACAGATGTGTGAGGTGATATTTTTGTCTAATAAAGAAAGGCAACTAATCATGGCTGGGGCAGGTAACTGAGTGTGAATACCACATCATGACTGCTGTTCAAGCACAGGCAGAGTTTTATAAAGGAAGCAAGTTGAATTGAGCAGAAGCTGCCAGCTCTACAAAGAGAAGACAAGAGTCATCTTCATCTTATTAAAGAACAAGTAAAGACTTATATTCATAAATCCCCAAACTGAACCCAAGGCTCCAATTGAAAGGCTATCCTATTATAAGCATTGCTGGCTTGGAAATCTGTACCTTGTACTATCTCAAAATAGAATTCTGGCATTACCTTTTGTTAACTATTTCAAGTGACATGGGCCAAACTGGAACTAGTTTCATTTTTCTAACTGCTAACCTAGCTCTGAAGAGCTCAAAGGACCATCTACAGCATGGCACAAAGCCAACAGCATCAGACAGTTTCTTTTCCAGCAACTGTTAACTTCAGTGAAGTAACTGGAACATGTAAGACAGTTCAGTTCAGGTAAGCAACACAGAAGCTGAAAATGATCTTTAGATAAAGCATTCATAAGAGAAAGGGTTAATATGAAAGCCAGTCTATTAGCAAGTCACCTCAGTGCAGAACCAATCAGCACACAGAAACGGCAAATTGGTGTCAGACTCAGGCACTTAGCTCTTAAAATGTTTGACACACTTCCTGCTCAAAATTTGTGTGCACCAGCCATAAGATTTCCCCCTTCCTTTTATAGGATGGGTAGACAGAAAAAGTTAAAAAGTAAAAAAAGCCACAAAACCACACATTGCTGCTGGCAAAGAAGATAGAAAGGACAAGAGCAGAACTAAATAATGCCTACGATCTTTCCAGAGACATTTATGCTAGAGATACATTGCGTGTATTCTCTTTCTTCAAGAGGATTAATGATCAACCAGCAGCCACTCCAATGAAAGTATTTTAAGCCTCCGCATTAATCTCCTGACTTGCTGAGAACTGCTGACAGGTGAGATCAGTTCATTTCACAAGTGCACAGAAACACAGTTTTGGCAAGACTTCTGTAATAGACAATTACTATGCTAGGATTACTTTGGTGAAGGGTGTGGAGATATTTTAATACTTCTTACAATCCAATTAGAAAAACTCAATTTATTACAGTCACAGACTATGTCTGAAATTTCAGAGGATATCTTGCAAGATATGTGAAACAGCCCATTGCATAGTGTGCAACAGACTTTGAGATGCTGCTGAATAATTTCCAACAGCTTATTACATAACCCATCAGTTTCCTGTTCTAAAAATGTTGCACATGATCTTGCACATCCTATTTCATCTCACTACCAAGATTCTTCCCTCCAAGAATAGATTTTGACCAATAGTCAAAGGAGTTACTGACTACAAAGAATAACTTATTGCATCAACCTTCCGCCACATCAGCTCTCCAAATTTTGACATCAATTGGTAGGAGTCAGACTAAGTTTTTATCCGCTTTGCACCCTTCACATGTTCTCTGATAATTTCTGCAACAGTTCTCTATATAGAGGTGATCTTGCCCATTTACTCTGCTCTCATGAGACCCCACCTGGAGTACTGTCTGCAGTTCTGGTGTCCCCAACATAAGACGGACATGGAGCTGTTGGAGCAAGCCCAGACGAGGGCCACAAGGATGATAAGGGGGCTGGAGCACCTCCCTTATGAAGACAGGCTGAGAAAGTTGGGGCTGTTCAGCCTGGGGAAGAGAAGCTGCCTGGAGACCTCAGAGCAGCCTTCCAGTATCTGAAGGGGAACTACAAGGATGCCGGGGAGGGACTGTTCATCAGGGATTGTAGCGATATGACAAGAGGTGGTGGGTTTAAACTTAAACAGGGGAAGTTCAGGTTAGATATAAGGAAGAAGTACTTCACTGTGAGGGTAGTGAGGCACTGGAACAGCTTGTTCAAGAAGTGATAAATGGTCCATCCCTGGCAGTGTTCAAGGCCAGGTTGGACAGAGCCTTGGGCAACATGGTCTAGGGTGAGGTGTCCCTGCCCATGGCAGGGGGGTTGGAACTAGATGATCTTAAGGCCCTTTCCAACACAAACCATTCTATGATTCTATGCCTTCGTGCTGCTCCAGAAGAGCAGTGGTCACAGCACTAGCAGAGTCAAAGTTTCTAGCCTGTGTTCATGCTGCTTAACTTAGAAGGTAACAGTTCACAAAGGTTTCTACCATTTTTTTTTTCCTGCTGCATGGTGTCTTAGATACCACCAGTCCCTCTTAGGGCAGAAGAGATTATCTACAGCTTGCCAAATAAGATGACTACACAAAAGACTTATCATTACAGGTATGATGAAGTAGCAAGCATTCAAAACCCCTCAAAACATACATAAAACATACATATAGATATCGCAGAGAGTTTTTACTCATGCTGTCTTCTTCATATGACAAGAGAGGCAGTTTTGGGGTTTCAGCAGCACAAAAAGGGGTGGGGAGAGGGAAATCTAGACAGACATCTTCAAGGACATCTACCTATGAAATTTATTCTTTAATAATTTTGTTTTAATAGATCTTTTAATCTACTGTGAAGAATATTTCATAATGCCTAAAAATATGAACATCCACTGTTTCTGCATCCCTCAGGATTCCATCTCAGGCAGTCCCATTTTAATACTGTTAGCAGAGGCTAGTCTGAGAATAAACAAACCACAACACACTAGTTCCTGTTTTAACCAGTCTCTGCACCCAAGTTTTACATTAATCATTCTTTCTATGCCTGCAGAGTATTAATAAAGTAAATGCTGTCATGACCAACATCTGCTGGCTAAGCAGAGGCCACATGGAGAGGAAAAGGGAACTTCAGAAGGGAACTGGACAACCAGGTTGAGGTTCCAAATTCTCCTTCTTTTTGCTTTTGGTATTCAGTGAAGTAGTTGCTGCATGCTTCAATTGGGTATGACCATTGGTTCTATAAATGGTATCTTTGTCATTTCCACAGCAAAAAGAAGCAGGAATCTCTCTCTGCTCTTGTCCACTTTGGGGTGCAAAGAAAAGGAAATGTTTCCTATCTGTAAACACATGCAGGCCTACATGTGCCTTCTCCAGTAAGACACTCTGAGATCTTGAATTTTTGTAACACAAAAAGCTTGGCATCAGCATTCTTTCCCACTGAAGCTCCAGACATGGGAAAATGCAATTCAGATGTTAGGTATATTAGGACTGCATTTTTATTATTACTTGATTCAGTTCAGATCAGACTCTCTGTTTACTACTTTGCAACTGCTCTCATGACTTGCTAAGCCAAAGTTAAATGGCATTCAGAACATCCTGCAAATGAAGACATTAAAATGTTAAAGACAGATTTACCACAGCATTCCTTGAAAGCTTCAACTAGAGGGGGATTGGCATAGTTTAGTGAAAAAATGTTAAGCAGAGGGAAGAAGTTAAGTCACATGAGAGTTGTCTATAGGGGCAATGAAAGGTTAACATACACATTTTTAGAAGCAAAGCAATTACATTAAGTTCAATTACTATGTAATCAAAAACTGTTACCCCAACAGACAAGATTACTTACATAGATCAGTCCCGAGTAGTATCTCTCCTTTAGGTTGTGAAGAACAGAAGCCTCATTCAGGCATGTCAGCTCTGCCATATCTTCCACTTTAGAGAATTTGGGAGGGTTCATCTTCTGGATGTCATCCTTATTTACTTTCACTCTCTTCCCATTCTCTGCCAGTTCCACCACAGCCTCATCTCCTACTTCTTCCTTCAGGCTAGCTGCCTCAAACCCATTCTTCTCAGACGGAACCCATACCAGCTTCTTAGCTGCCCAGTCAGCCTGAGACAGAGGGTTATTAATGATGTTTTTGTCCACATAAAGGTACTTATCTGCATCCCGTTGCGACATTGTGTTTTAGAATTGGGGACCTGTGAAAAAGGGGAAAAAAAACCAAACACATTTTTAAAGCCTCAAGTTGCCTTGCAAATTCCTATAGGCAGACAGGCACATGCTAAGTACTCCGAGTCCCCGGTCATCAGAACATGCCTCCCCTTCCTTTAGTTTCATGTTAGTAAGCACTGGTAAGTTATACACAGAATCGTAGAATCTGTCAAACTTCAAATAAGGTCTAGGTTTTGCTTGCCAAGAGGATGCAAAAAAAAAATAAAATAAAAAAAAAATAAAAAGAAAAACAAACCATAAACTAGCAAGCAGCTAAAAAACCCCAACAGAATACTGACCCTTAAGCATTTGGAAGCCATTATTAGGCAGTAAAGAGAATGCACATTGAAGTGGCAAACATCAAACAAGATGTGCCAATACTCATAGCATGAGGTACTATGTCAGTAATGTTCAGTTCAAGATTACCCCTTCACTGCTCTACTTGGTATAGATACTAGAAATACATTTAATCAACGGCTTTACTTCCTATTTCCTGGTTCTGATAAGTTACCAATCAAATACCACTTCTTAGAAATGCCACAAACCAGTCTAGACAACACACAAGATGCACTTTGCCTCTAGAAGACATCATCAATAATTTGAGGACAACAGTTAAGACCAACATCAAATGCTTTCCATCACCAGCTTAGTAGCAACACCCATCCCAATCAGTTTGCATCACTTCTTTAGACCATGTTCAGTAGCAGAATACCTCCAAGACAGTAACAGAATAAATCTGTGGTCAGAAAATTTTACAGCCCCAAAATCCTTCTGTGCAGCTACAATTAGGTAAAGTAGAAAGTATCACCCCTACAAAAGGGAGATTTAGGTGGCATGCTCAGAAAATGGCACCTTAGATTTAGTGTTTCATCAAACCCAGAACATTACTGCCACAAATTTTCCAATTTATAAGGCAGCAATTTTATTAATGCCATTCAGAAATCCTTTCAATCAGAAGAAGGGACTGCATGTGTCAAAGCTCACTGACCATGTAACAGCAGCCTCTTTAGAAGGTCCCATAAATATTACTTCTTGGATCCTTCCTCACAAAGATACCAGTGTCCTCAATATATGTTTTTCATAACTTGGATAGAAGCTAGAGCTCTTTATCACCAAAAGAGCAGGAAATGAAAATACCAATATTCTTGTCACTGGAGGCTGTCAGGAGCTCCAGGGATAACTTCTACAGAGCACACCCATATTTACAAGCCAGCCTGCAAATTAAATAGGTGAAATCTGACTATAGATACTGCAGACAAAAAGGTATTGAAAGCAGGACAGAAGCAGTTCAACTCCCAAAATACGCATGAGTGCAACAATAGATGCTGAGTCCCAGCATTAGCAAGCTGTGAATGAAGCCAGAAAAACATCAGCTATAATGATGGGCACAGATGCCCACACCAGTCATTTGTAAGCATGTAGGGAA